CATTTGGGTAAAATGTGCCATTAATCCATAACCTAACCAAACAAAATCATTCTCCCGTGGATGTCGTAAGAGGCAACAGAGGGAAACTGAAACAGGAAATAAGCGGCAACTATCAATCTTCTAAAATCTTATACAAAAAAACTGCGCTTGCCTTACCTGCTCATTAGAGAAAATCCCTCCTATGAAACAATATATGGGAAAATCCTATATTAAAACAGTGGACTTTTATAGGCAGTAATGGATGGATAAATGAATGCATTATATCTCCTACTCTACAAAAAACAAACAAATCTATTTGTTTTTGTTGAAATTTTCTTGGAGTAAAAGAGGTTTACCGTTATATCATAGAATTAAGGTAATTGAAAATTGGACCAGAATTGTTATGGAAGTATAATAAGGAGGGAACGACTAAGAAGATAAGTCGCTGTTTGTTATGATGACGTGAATTAGTCCATAAATCAAGCGCCTTAACAAATGGTAATCAAATACTCGTAAAATAAGCAGGGTCAGACAATCATATTGGGGGCAAGAAAAATATAGGTTTCTGAATCACTTCGAAACTTTATTTCATATCAAATTGAAAACATGGCTATTTGAATCGTTTATTTTATAAAGGTAGTTTTAAATTAACAATTTAAAGTCTATGGTAATTCTATATATTTCAAAAATATTTTAATTTAATAGTAAATAGATATTTCTACTGAATTATACATATAAAAATAAATACGATAGTGTTACGGAACACTTACTCGACTTATTTATTCGTCCTGGAACAACTAATGGCCAATTCGGAATACTTATGACCGAATTTAGACAATGAAACTAATGCAGGCTTATTGTAGTATCTGTACTAAGTTATTTATTTATTTATTTAACTTCATATCATCATCATCATTACAGCACTTCACAAGTCCACTGCTGAACATAGGCCTCCCCCAAGTAACGCCACAAAGCACGGTCCTGAGCCACCTGCATCCATCGACTTCCTGCATATCTTACCAGGTCGTTACTCCATCTAGTGGGGCGTGGGGCCTACACTACGCCTACCGGTACGAGGCTTCCACTCGAGAACCTTTTTTCCCCATCGGTTATCGGTTCTTCGAGCTATATGGCCGGCCCATTGCCACTTCAGCTTACTAATCCGTTGGGCTATATCGGTCACTCTGGTTTTGCTGGGGATATCCTCATTTCTGAGTCTATCAAGCAGAGAAATTCCGAGCATAGCCCTCTCCATAGCTCGCTGAGCGACCTTGAGCATCCTCATACGGCCAGCAGTGAAGGACCATGTCTCAGATCCGTAAGTCATCACTGGCAACACGCACTGGTTATACACTTTAGTTTTCAGAGTTTGAGGTATACCTGACGAGAAGATGTGTCGTAATTTCCCGAACGCTGCCTGCTGCCGCTGCCGAGTTGAATCCGTCGATTGACCTCTCGGTCGAAGTTGGACTCACCTATTCGGACTATTTGTCCCAGGTAAACGTACTCGTCAACAACTTCGAGCATAGTGCTCCCAACAACTAGCGGCATAGGTGTGAAATGGACATTAAACATGATCTTTGTTTTGTCCATGTTCATCTTAAGACCTATCCGTTGGGAGACACCATTGAGGTCATTGAGCATAGTGCTAAGGTCCTCCAGCGATTCTGCCATAAGGACTATATCGTCGACAAATTGAAGGTGAGTGATGTACTCGCCATTGATGTTAATACCGTATCCTTTCCAGTCCGGTAGCTTGAAAACGTCTTCCGACGCAGCGGTGAAGAGTTTCGGGGATATAACATCACCCTGTCTTACACCTCTCTGCAGTTGGATAGGTTTCCAACTCTGGTTCTGTACTCGGATAGCCATCGTAGCCCTACTGTACAAACAGTTCAGCACTTCAATATACCGACAGTCAACTTGGCACCGCTGATGGGACTGTAGCAACGCCCAAATTTCGACGGAATCAAAGGCTTTCTCATAGTCCACATATGCCAGGCAAAGTGGCAGATTGTACTCTTCGGTCTTCTGTACAATCTACCGCAGGGTATGTATGTGGTCTATGGTACTGAAGCCTTTTCGGAAACCGGCTTGTTCGGGAGGCTGGAAGTCGTCGAGTCCGCGTGCGAGACGATTCGTAATGACTCTTGAAAATAGCATGTAGACGCGGCTCAGAAGGGAAATCGGTCTGTAGTTCTTCAAGAGAACGTTGTCGCCTTTCTTAAAGAACATTTAGTTAGTAACAATGCAGTTGTGTTGGAAAATAATTGGTGGCCTCATTTTATCCTCTATTTGTAGTTAAGTTTAATCTTATGGCACATGGAATAAAAAATAACTTCATATATACAGATGTATATAGGCGGACTTAATGCTTGAGGCATTATCTACCAGTCTACCTTAGAATAGTGCAGAGATAAAAGAGGTAGGTGTAATAAGAAGTATGTACAATATATATAAAGTCATACATATATAAGGGTATAAATATATACATATATAAACATAATGTAAGTATATATACATAAAATTAAATATTAATATTATATTTATATATATATATATATATATATATATATATACTACTAATATAAATATTATATCATATAATATAATATTTATATTAGTAGTGTAGCACGAATGGGTCGGCGGAAAATAAACACATACTAAATCAGTTATATTTTTATTTTTCTACATAATCACCATCAAGTTCAATACACCTTTGCCACCTCCCCTTCCAAGCACTTAGACCGTTGAAAAAAAATTATTCTTCCTTAGAGTCAAAATATGCGTCTACAGCTGCTTTGACCTCGTCGTTTGTCGAAAATCTTTGACCTCCCAAGTGCTTTTTTAGGTTAGGGAACAGAAAGAAGTCTGATGGTGCCAGATCAGGTGAATACGGCGGATGCGGTAACAGTTCAAAGCCACAGTTGTGAATTTCAGCCATTGACTGTACTGACGTGTGAACACGGGCGTTATCTTGATGAAACAGGACTTTTCTTCTGAGCATTCCTCGACGTTTTTCTTTTATTTCCTCTCGTAAATGACGTAGTAAGGTGCAGTAGTAATCAGAGTTTATAGTCTGACCCCTTTCAAGATAATCAATCATAATCACACCTTTCGAGTCCCAGAATACTGAAGCCATCACCTTATTTGCCGACAAAATCGACAGCCTTTTTAGGGGGTGGTGAACCAGGTCTTCTCCACTGTTTTGATTGTTGTTTTGTTTCCGGTGTACAGTAATGAACCCATGTTTCGTTCATAGTAACAAAACGATTCAAAAAATCATCTGCATCGGCTTCAAATAACTCCAAACAGTCGCGTGAAATAGTCAATCGCGTCCTTTTTTGTTCAACTGAAAGCAGTCGCGGAACCCACCTCGCAGACACCTTGTGGAAACCCAACTCGTTGACAATGATGTTTTGAGTTCGTTCATAAGAGATGCCTATAATCTCGGCTATCTCTCTAATTTTTAATCTGCGGTCTCCCATTATTAAATCAAGTACTTTTTTTAATATTTTCGTCAGTAGTTGACGTCGAAGGCCTTCCAGAGCGGGGTTCATCTTTCACACTCTCTCTACCACGCTTAAATTCTGCTATCCATTTTTTGACGGATGAATATGACAGAGCACAATCGCCTAATGTACTGACCATGTCATCATGGATGGCTTTTGATGATAGCCCCTTCTTACGGAGGTACTTAATGACGGCACGCTGCTCGATTTGCTCCATTCGCGGAAATTATGTCCGATTACTTTGTTAATAAATTTATAAAATCACAACTAATTATCGCACACGTTTCGAACTTCACACAATGAACTAGTCTGAACTGAACTAAATAATGTGGGTAGATTTGATTTTTAGAATTGAATGGATGTATGTTAGGCCGAGTACTTTTCAATCCACCCTCGTATGTATAAAACACCCATTTTTCCTTTAATATCTATCCTTTTAATATTCCTTCAACCTTTTTTGGCTTTAATGCGTACTGCTGGATAACATTGTGATTGAAGTAATCACTTGTAGTGACAAACCAACATTTATTGAATGGTCCAGGTCGGTAGCAGGTGAAATTTTCAAGGATTAAACCTTTTAAAATGTGTAATTTTTACCAATCTTCTGATTAAAGATTAGATATCATAGACTTTAGTTTTTATTCCATGTGCCATAAGATTAAACTTAACTACAAATAGAGGATAAAATAAGGTCACCAATTATTTTCCAACACAACTGCATTGTTACTAACTAAATTGATATTATCACCAGCAAATAAATTGTAAAGCGTAAAATGAAATTTGGCTAGTATGTTGTGTGTGAATTTAAATTTGTAAAATTATAATAATCATAGCCGATAGTATAAACGTTAGTAATATAAACAAGTCAACAAGCTCTTGCAGCCATTTTTTTTTTTGATGATGATTTCTACTATAAAGTAGAAAGCGAAATGTTATTTTTTAAGATTATTATTGTTTTAGTTTGATGTAGCCCTATGTACGTTATTTTAAATATACCTTGGTACATAATTTATTACGTGACGTAACAGCGTTAAAGATAATATATAATTATAATGATATATAATAATAATATAAAGGCGTAGGGAATTGACGACCCCATCGCCCGCTGACGTAACAGTTATGTGACAAAACAGCTACGTCGGCGCAGTCAGTCAGCGCCCGCCAAGAGATGTGAGCGCCGTACCTAGGCAAAATTGTGGATGCAAAGGTCCGTTTGTGCATATGACCCAACCACGAAACGGTGCCGGGCTTGGGCGTCTCCCGTTATTTGGCGCCCATAAAATGGATGATGGCACAGAAAGGAACGCGCATAGAGCCGCTGCCTGGGGGTCGCCGGGGCGCGTCTGTAGCTGGCGCTGGACGCGGCAGCATGCGGGCCGCCAGCGAAGCGCGAGGATCTGCTCGATCACCTAGCAGCCCCTCGCATCCATCATCCCACCAGAAAGCTTGGTGTCGGCTGGATCTTCTCGGACGCAGCAAGCGGCACTCGCCGCTGGTGGAGCACGTCGCATGCGTTGGACAAAAGCTATGAACGAAAACGCATTGCGGGCGTACTATAGGGTGAAAGGGGAAGAAACTGTGGGAATATCGTATAGGGCTCGGATGCATTACTTTTTTGCTGAGCTGGAACCATCTATTCCCGTCACCCAGCAAAACCTGGCAGACCGAGTTCGGTACATCATGCGCTCGAAAATATTTGATGATGCCGAACTCGAACAACTACGACGTGAGGCTATTCCATCATTACATGAATCGGCTATGGCTGGGGATGCAGCTCCACATGCGACAGACCAGCATTCACACTTGGAAGCCACCATGGATCTTCCAGTTGTGGTTGATTCGAACGACGATGAAATAGTCTCCCACGAACTAGAGCAAATGAGGAGCATATTGGATGAGGCGATTTTGGAAACGCGCAGCACCCCTCTCGAAAATCGACCGCGACTTCTACGCAAGCGACCCTAAGCAAGCGAAATCGGGCTGTCGTGAGGGCTCTTAAACCAATGCTGGTTACCTATTTGGAAGCCAGCCGGGACCTTTGCGAGACGGACTCGATTCTCTTTAGCGCCGCAGTGGCAGTTTGACGTATTATTGGCGCCAAACTTCCCATGGCTGGACGCGCTACTACACAAAGTAGCGCCATCCCAGCCTGGAGAAAAAGAATCGAGGACCGTTTCGCAAAGGCAAGGGCCCTTATCTGCAGACTGACAAGCTCCAGGTCGGGTAATAATAGACCGAGAATTGTGCGCACCGTTAGGATGGTGTTTGCTGGGACAAATATCAGTTTGTCCCAGCCGGATATCACGCAAAAACTAACGGAGCGCATAGACGACCTGAAGCAAAAGATCGCTGCTTGGGGGAAGCGGATTCGACGATTTTCCGAGAGGTCAAGGCGGTTCAACCAGAATCGTCTCTTCCAGAGTGATCAGAAGAGGCTCTATAAATCATTGGAGCAACCAAAGGTATGTGGAGCGGGCCAAGGACCGGATCCACAGCGATGGCCCTTGGATGGAAGTTGTGGCGAGCCAGAGTGCGAGTGTTACGCCTATGGACCATATAACGCCAGAAGACGTGATGAGGCGATCCGTAGGGCCCTGAACTGGAAAAGTCCGGGGCTCGACGGGCTGCATCACTACTGGCTGAAGGGGTCCATGGTGTGTCACGCTGTGCTCGCTCGACAGTTTCAAGAGGCTCTCGACCAGAAGTCGCTCCCGAGCCTCTTCACTACTGGGATCACTCACTTGGTTCCTAAAGATCAGGGTACCACAGACCCGAGCAAATACCGCCCCATCACGTGTCTACCCACCATATATAAGACACTGACATCCATTTTGAGCGCGAAAATCACTCGTCACCTGGAGCTAAACCAGGTGATGTCACGCGCTCAAAATGGATATCGGGGCGGTGGTCGTGGAACCAAGGAACCACTCCTCATTGATGCGGTCATAGGCAAAGTTCACCGCCGCCTGGATAGACTACAGAAAGGCATTCGACTCGGTGCCCCATACATGGCTAAAGAGGGTCCTCGAGCTGTACAAGATTGACTGTACAGTTAGAGACTTCCTCGAGCAGTGTATGGGGTAGTGGAGTTCGATCCTTTCTCATCTGGGCGAGCGGATGATGGCTGCGGAGAACTACATAAGGATAAGAAGGGGTATCTTCCAGGGCGATTGTCTGAGTCCAATCTGGTTCTGCCTCTCTCTGAACCCTCTCAATACCATACTGGAGGGCTCCAGGAGGGGATTTCAGCTACGCAAAGGAGGGACAAAAGTGACCCACCTTTTCTGTATATATATTATAATATTTTCTGTAGCCTCCAGTCGCTCCCATCTTATGGAATTGCTAAACATCACTTGTGAATTCAGCAATTCCATTGGAATGGAGCTGGGGACGGATAAGTGTGCGGTCCTCCATGTTGAAAGGGGAATGGTTGCTAACTCTGAGGGCATAGCCTTTATCTATGCCCTTCAACTTTCCGGACCTTTAAGGACCCTTTCCGAGGCTGAAACATACCGATACCTGGGTATGTCACAGAACATCGGTATCGATGAGGCTGGTATGAAACAGTCATTTTGCGACGTGTTTTATGCACGCTTACCAAAGTGCTTAACAGCCTTTTGTCCGGTGTGAATAAGACACACGCATATAACGGCTGGGTCATGCCTGTCCTCATGTATACCTTTGGCATACTCAGGTGGACTCAGACCGAACTTAACGCCCTAAATAGTAAAGTTCGCACTACCATGACGTCCCATAGAATGCATCATCCGAGATCGTCGGTAATGAGGCTGTACTTGCCGCGAAAGCATGGTGGACGTGGTTTTCTGAGCGCGCTCAACATGCATAATCGCGAAGTGTGCAGCCTCCGTCATTACTTCCTGGCAATATCGGATGATCCATTCTATAATGACGTCAGCTCTAGTGATAAGGGGCTTACCCCTCTATCCTTAGCCAACAAGCAATGGCAGGACCCAGCAGTGCTTAGCATTTTCGACCGGGAGAGCGTATGGAAGGAGAAGGAGCTCCACTGGAGGTACTACAGGGCTCTACATGAGCCCTTCGTAGCCCCTCAACTGGCTACGTTTCGGTGACCTCTTCGGGGAATTCGAGGGTTTTGTCTGTGCAATACAGGATCAGGTTATTAAGACCAACAACTATCGGAGATACATCCTAAAGGATGGCACCATCGACATTTGTCGAGCTTGTCGTCATCCCGGTGAGTCACTTAGGCATGTCATCTCCGGTTGTTCGGCGCTTTCTAACTCTGAGTACTTGCACAGGCACAATCTAGTAGCCAGAATTCTTCACCAGGAGCTCGCTCTCAAATACGGTGTCGTGGATCGGAAATTGCCGTATTACAAATATTTGCCGGAAGCCGTGCTCGAAAATGATCGCGCCAGGCTCTATTGGGACCGGGCCATCATCACAGATAGGACTATTCTTGCGAATAAGCCTGATATTGTGCTGATGGATCGGGCACAGTCAAGGATATTTTTGGTCGACATTACCATTCCGTATGACGAGAACCTCGTGAAAGCCGAAACAGATAAGCAATCAAAATAGCTGGACCTGGCTCACGAGGTGACCGACATGTGGAGTGGTCTGCCGACCGAAATTATTCCTGTAGTCGTGTCTGTAAACGGGTTAATCCCAGCCAGCCTCTCGGGCCATCTGAGGCGACTGGGACTTCGTGACGGACCGCTCCGGGCTCAAATGCAAAAGGCAGTGCTCCTCGATACCGCCCGCATCGTCCGCCGGTTTCTTTCCCTTTCCCCCTAAGCTCCTAACCCTCGGCCGTTTGGTTTCCCTGCCGAGGGCTTTCATCTGGTTGGGCTTTTATTTATTTATGTATTATTTATTTATTTATGTTAGTATAGTAAATATATATTTAAGTATATTTATTTTTTCCTTTTATGTATTTATCCAGCCCAACCAGATGTGATTACTCTATCAATAACCCAAAATAATAATATATAATAATAAGATCTATTAAAGATTATCAAGAAACTTTATACGTGGTATAGCCATGCTGCAACTATATTAGTAGTATAGTTGTAGCACGAATGGGTCGGCTCGACCGGGGAAGGACCACGCTTTCACAGAATACCAGCGTCAAATAGTAGCTTAATGCTGCTGTGTTTCGTATGGTGGGTGTAGAGAACCGGAGACCCATTTTACTGGAAATGAGCCATTCCATCTTAGTCATCACGGGTGACAACTCATCTGTATTTTGATTCGTAATCGAGGATAGATGTAGATGTCTATGGACCACAGCAACCACTTGCCTTCAGGCGGACTGTGTGCTCGTTTGTTAACCCATCCTATATAAAAAAGATAATATATAATAATAATATAGAATTATTTACCACGTGCTCGGCGGTGAAGGAAAACATCGTGAGGAAACCTGCATGTCTGAGAAATAAGAAAAAAAATTCGAAGACATGTGAAGTTAGCCAACACGTATTAGGGCAGCGTGGCGGACACTTCCTTGCCCTAAAAACCTCTCAGAAATTAGGGGAGGCCTGTGCCCGGCAGTGGGACGTATATAGGCTGTAACTTTACTTTACTTTTATATACTAAGATCCACTACTCGATATCAACCCGTGGACGTAAAAGTTGAAAGAGAAAATAAAAGGGGAGATGGGCAGCATCGCCTAATTGATAGCGACTTATAGTAATAAAAAACTGCAGTTGCTGGCGCGCTTGCCAAAGGTTACATCTACGTCAAATATCTCACTTATTAAGCAAACTGTAAGAGAGGCTCATACATGTGGATAGGCTCTATTAAATGAATAATGAATAATTGACTTAATTAAATACCATATCTACTAATCCTATGTTTCGGTTTTAACTGGACTTGTGTTATTAAAACGTTAATAAAGTTCGTGTCGTGAGCTTAGAAGCATACATTACGTTACGTGACAAAGCTGTTTTCGCTGGGGTTGACCCGGGAGGGACGGTATCGCCCGATCACTGTTGCATTTTTGGTAGTAGCCTTACATCGTTTTGTTAGAAGCGGTAGCGGATATTTTTGCGAAAATGAAAATATTTTTAACCATTAACAGAACATATTAACATGAATAATGTAAATATTTGGGATATAAATGCTATTTTTATTTTTAATCAGAAACTATTATTTTTGTCGGACTCAATACGAAAAGGTATAATTTGAACTCTGTATATATATAGTTGTATTGTCATCTATATACATTTTTACTAAATTCCTTCATTTAAATTAACATAAAACAACATTATAAAATTAAAAATCTTCTGTGTCCGCTCTTTGCTACTCAATTCTACATACCTCAATTTTTACTTTACTTTTAAATTAATAAGTAAGCTAAAATGAAAACGAGTCAGCCAAATGGTTTGGGAAACTGACAACCCATGTAAAAGAAAGCAGCCTCGTACTGGTAAAGTGTGAGGTGAAATTACGACCTGGTAAGACATACATAACACAAGTTGCTCGGGACCGTGAAATATACAAATTTATGTTATTGTATAAAGTAAGATAATTAGTTATTAAGTTTACCAGATACATAAATGTGATATTCACATATTTTAAACAGTAACACCATATCAAGAAAATCAATCAAATATGTCACACTAAGCTTTTGTAACTTACGGGCGCTTTGTTTCCCCTCTCGTAGGGCAGTAGATCGAGGGCCCAGTGACAACCCCAAAGAAAGGGCTCTCAGAGAAAACTTCGCACACCGTCCCTTTCTTTTGTTACGAACTTCATACATAAAACACCGCTTAGGTACGATGGTATGCGTCCAAAACGATACATTCCCATCTCTATCTTAAGTAGTTCAATAGAATATTTCGAACCAATTTTGTTTTTTGAAAAACAAAGGAAATCAGCCATAATAAAAAGAAGTTATTGTATTAAAGTTTTACAAATAGAAAAGTTGAACCTATTATCTAATATTTACGTATTGCTTTATAAAGTATTATAGATTATA